CGGTTCCCAGAAGTTGGAATTTATGTTTTCGAAGCTAAACAACTATCATTGCAAGGAACTGCGGATTCCCAAAGTTTGAAACTCATGGTCCTAAACCTGAAAAAGTATACGTTACCAGTGGAAGGATCTGTTGATTCCAAAAAGATAGAACTCATGGTTCTTAATGTTGTTTTGTTTTGTTTGCTGAGCCGGTAACAGATTCTTTTGTTTTGCTTAATGGACCGGTAGCGGAATCTTTGCGTTTGGCTGTTGGGCCGGCATAAAAATGTTTTTGCACGAAAAAGGTGCATGTCAAAATGATATGAGAACAGTTTCTTTACAACTTTATGGTTTTGCTTGATGGACCGGTAAAGAAAGCTTTGTTTTGCTTAATGGACCGGCACCGGAATGTTTGCGTTTGGTTCATGGCAAGGAACTGCCGGTTCCCAAAGGTTGGAACTCACGGTTGCCAACGTGGGAACCACAGGTTAACCTATGGTTCCCAGGTTGGGAAGCATGAGTTCCAACCTCTGGGAACCGGCAGTTGCTTGCAATGGTAACCTCTGGTTCCCAGGTTGGGAACCATGACTTCTAACCTGTGGGAACCGGCACCATTGCAAAGAACTTCCAATTCCTAAAGGTTGGAACTGATGGTTCCCAACGTGGGAACCAAAGGTTACCATGGCAAGGAACTGCCGGTTCCCAGACCTTGAAACTTACGGTTCCCAACCTGGGAACCAGAGGTTACCATTGCAAGGAATTGCCGGTTCCCAGAAGTTAGAATTTATGTTTTCGAAGCTAAGCGGCTATCATTGTAAGGAACTGCGGGTTCCCAAAGCTTGAAACTCATGGTTCCAAGCCTGAAAATGTAACGTTACCAGTTGGAAGGATCTGTTGATTGCAAAAAGTTAGAACTCATGGTTCTTAATGTTGTTTTGTTTTGTTTTGTTTACTGAGCCGGTAACAGAACCTTTTGTTTTGCTTAATGGACCGGTAGCGGAATGTTTGCGTTTGGCTGTTGGGCCGGCATTAAAAAAGTTTTTGCACGAAAAAGGTGCATGTCAAAATGATATGAAAACAGTTTCTTTACAATTTTATGGTTTTGCTTAATGGACCGGTACAGAACGCTTTGTTTTGCTTAATGGACCGGTACCGGAATGTTTGCGTTTGGTTCATGGCAAGGAACTGCCGGTTCCCAAAGGTTGGAACTCAACGGTTGCCAACGTGGGAATCACAGGTTACAATTGCACGGAACTGCCGGTTCCCAGAGGTTGGAACTCCTGGTTCCCAACCTGGGAACCATGGGTTACCATTGCAAGAAACTGCCGGTTACCAGAGGTTGGAACTCATGCTTTCTAACCTGGGAAACATAGGTTACCATTGCAAAGAACTTCGGGTTCCTAAAGGTTGGAACTGACGGTTCCCAACCTGGGAACCAGAGGTTACCATTGCAAGGAATTGCCGGTTCCTAGAAGTTAGAATTTTTGTTTTCGAAGCTAAGCAACTATCATTGTAAGGAATTGCCGCTTGCGAAAGCTTGAAACTCATGGTTCCAAACCTGAAAAAGCATACGTTACCAGTGGAAGGATCTGTTGATTCCAAAAAGTTCAAACTTATGGTTCTTAATGTTGTTTTGTTTTGTTTACTGAGCCGGTAACAGAACCTTTTGTTTTGCTTCATTGACCGGTACCAGAATGTTTGCATTTGGTTCATGGCAAGGAACTGCCGGTTCCCAAAGGTTGGAACTCACTGTTGCCAACGTGGGAACCACAGGTTACCATTGCAAGGAACTGCCGGTTGCCAGAGGTTGGAACGCATGGTTCCCAACCTGGGAACCAGAGGTTACCATTGCAAGCAACTGCCGGTTCCCACCTGGGAACCACAGGTTACCATTGCAAAGAACTTCCGTTTCCTAAAGGTTGGAACTGATGGTTCCCAACGTGGGAACCAAAGGTTACCATGGCAAGGAACTGCCGGTTCCCAGACCTTGATACTTACGGTTCCCAACCTGGGAACCAGAGGTTACCATTGCAAGGAATTGCCGGTTCCCAGAGGTTAGAACTTATGTTTTCGAAGCTAAGCAACTATCATTGTAAGGAATTGCCGGTTGCGAAAGCTTGAAACTCACGGTTCCAAACCTGAAAAAGCATACGTTACCAGTGGAAGGACCTGTTGATTGCAAAAAGTTAGAACTCATGGTTCTTAATGTTGTTTTGTTTTGTTTACTGAGCCGGTAACAGAACCTTTTGTTTTGCTTAATGGACCGGTAGCGGAATCTTTGCGTTTGGCTGTTGGGCCGGCATAAAATTTAAATGTTTTTGCACGAAAAAGGTGCATGTCAAAATGATATGAAAACATTTTCTTTACAACTTTATGGTTTTGCTTCATGGGCCGGTACCAGAATGTTTGCGTTTGGTTCATGGCAAGGAACTGCCGGTTCCCAAAGGTTGGAACTCCTGGTTCCCAACCTGGGAACCATGGGTTACCATTGCAAGCAACTGCCGGTTACCAGAGGTTGGAACTCATGCTTCCCAACCTGGGAACCATAGGTTACCATTGCAAAGAACTTCCAGTTCCTAAAGGTTGGAACTGATGGTTCCCGTGGGAAGCAAAGCACAGCACGCTGCACAGCAACCTGCACAGCACCCTGCACAGCACCTGTCACAGCACCCTTCACAGCACCCTGCACAGCCCCTTTGCAAGACTTCGCCACCGCAGTCTGGATAGCAGCGTGCACAGCACCCTGCACAGCACCTTTGCCAGACTTCGCCACCGCAGTCTGGACAGCACCCTGCACAGCACCCTGCACAGCACCCTGCACAGCACCCTGGACAACACCCTGCAGAGCACACTGCAGAGTACCCTGCACAGCACCTTTGCCAGACTTCGCCACCGCAGTCTGGACAGCACCCTGCACAGCACCTTGCACAGCACCCTGCCCAGCACCCTGCACAGCACCCTGCACAGCACCCTGCACAGCACCTTTGCCAGACTTCGCCACCGCAGTCTGGACAGCACCCTGCACAGCACCCTTCAACTCACCTCCTCAACTCACCTCCTCAACTCACCTCAACTCACCTCAACTCACCTCAACTCACCTCAACTCACCTCAACTCACCTCAACTCACTCAACCCACTCAACCCACTCAACCCACCCACCCACTCACTCTCTCACTCACTCACTCACTCACTCACTCACTCACTGTCCAAATAGCTTCCTGGCTGCCTTTGGCCTGGCAGGCGCAGTACACAGAGCTTCCTGCCTTCAGCCTCTGCACTTCCCTTTTGCGTGGCAGGCGCAGTACACAGAGCTTCCTGGCGGAGCTGCGGCGCGGTGGCCGCCGCTGGCCCGCGGCCGCCTTTTGCCTGGCAGGCGCAGTACACAGAGCCTCCGCACTTCCCTTTTGCGTGGCAGGCGCAGTACGCAGAGCTTCCTGGCGGAGCTGCGGCGCGGTGGCCGCCGCTGGCCCGCGGCTGCCTTTTGCCTGGCAGGCGTATAGTACACAGTGCCTCCGCACTTCCCTTTCGCGTGGCAGGCGCAGTACACAAAGCTTTCTGGAGGAGCTGCGGCGCGGTGGCCGCCGCTGGACCGCGGCTGCCTTTTGCCTGGCAGGCGCAGTACACAGAGCCTCCGCACTTCCCTTGTGCGCGGCAGGCGCAGTACATAGAGCTTTCTTGAGGAGCTGCGGCGCGGTGGGTACACAGAGCCTCCGCACTTCCCTTTCGCGTGGCAGGCGCAGTGTATAGAGCTTTCTGGAGGAGCTGCGGCGCGGTGGCCGGCTGGCCCGCGGCTGCCTTTTGCCTGGCAGGCGCAGTACACAGAGCGTCCGCACTTCAGCCTCCGCACTTCCCTCTTGCGTGGCATGCCGGCGCAGTACACAGAGCTTCCTGGCGGAGCTGCGGCGCGGTGGCCGCCGCTGGCCCGCGGCTGCCTTTTGCCTGGCAGGCGCAGTACATAGAGCCTCCGCACTTCCCTTTTGCGTGGCAGGCGCAATACACAGAGCTTCCTGGCGGAGCTGCAGCGCGGTGGCCGCCGCTGGCCCGCGGCTGCCTTTCGCCTGGCAGGCGCAGTACACAGAGCCTCCGCACTTCCCTTTTGCATGGCAGGCGCAGTACACAGAGCTTTCTGGAGGAGCTGCGGCGCGGTGGCCGCCGCTGGCCCGCGGCTGCCTTTTGCCTGGCAGGCGCAGTACACAGAGCCTCCGCACTTCCCTTGTGCGTGGCAGGCGCAGTACTTAGATGGGCTGGGGTGATGCTAACAAGTTACATACCTTAAGCTACTTCACAATTCATTACTAAATATATGTTAAAACCTTTGTAACCATATGTTAACTAGTTATAATGCATTATGAAAATTATAACATTTGTTAACTGTTATGAAAAATAGCTAATTATGTTAATTTAGTTAAAGAATTAGCAAAGTTACTAACTGTTAGCTAATTTTTGACCAATGATTTGCACACATGATTTTTAATGACTTGTAACATTTTGTTTTCATGAAAGAAGCAAAATGTTCATGAAGAAAAATCAAAAAAAACATGCCATGTGCAGATCAGAGGCTGCCATGGCCATAGCAAGTGTGAAATTGCCATCAAAGAAGTTTTATTTGATTGGTGACATTCTTTTTGTTATTGCAAAAATGTTGCTGTCAGTTTTGTATGTGAAAAGCACGTGGTGCTGCAATTTCTTTTGTGAAAAGCACTTGGTGCTGCAATTTCTTTAGACTGAAGCATTTGGTGAATGGTTTTGCCAATTGAATGATCTATTGGCTCTTTGGAACTTAGGGATTGTTGGCCCAAAAGTAGATTTCAGCAGCATGGCAGAAGTTCCACCTGCAGTGGTGGAGATCACCCCTACTTTTGCTTTGTCCTTCAATGGTTCAAAGCCTGTTGCCTTCCCTCCCAGCTTTATTGTGAAGGACTGGTTTGTCTGTTGCTGGCCAAATGCCTTAATCAAGCCAACACAATTTTTCCTTGTTGATTAATGGCATTACTGTTGATTGGATAGCTTAAACATTGCAGGACATCAATGACCAGAACTACTTGAAGATTCAGGGCAGCCCCCCTTTGATTTCCAGGTTGATTTGCGGATGCACTCTGAAAAGCCATTCCTTCTCCAATTCCACCACTTTCAATGAGTTGAAGCAGAAGAGGAACCACAAGCTCATGAGCAATGGTCAGAAGAAGCTCAAGACTGAACAGGTGGTTGAAATCACCATTGGCTCCACCAATGTATCCATCCTGTGCCCTGGGAAGAGGTCTGCATCAGCAGATCTTTTGGTCTTGATGGACCAGGATCAGCTGAGTTGTGTCTTTGACTTTTTGAAGACTGATTGCAAGGACAATGGCAAAGCCAAAAGGTCTTACAAAAAGGGTGGCAACAAGCCCCAAAAAGATGAAGAAGCAGACTAGGTGCAATTTTGAAGCTGGAGCATCACCTGCTGGGCCCAAGAAAAACATGGGAAGTGGTGCTGGTGTGAATGATTCTTTGGGGTGCATGGTGCATAATACAAAATCAGCAGCTTCAAGCATTGAAGCATGCATGTTTGGATTTGCCTCAATGGGCTTATAATCTGCCCCAATGTTTCAGCAGCTTGTTGCTGGGCATGGTTGGGCTGCTGTTTGCCTTTGAGGGCTTTTGCTTTGTTTTGCAACTGCAAAGACAATTTTTTTCCTCCCATTTGTCTTAGCATTGATTCTGTTTGCTGGGCATGATTTAGCAGCTCAAGCATGAAGCTTGGCAAGGAATGAAACTTGACAAGGAATGGTTTTTTAAAAACTAGTTATGGGACCACATGTGTAAGAAGCAGCCAACACAACACAAGAAAAACTACTAGTGATGGGGTCACATGCTGCACAGCACCTTTGCCAGACTTCGCCACCGCACTCTGGACAACACCCTGCACAGCACCCTCCACACCACCTTTGCCAGACTTGGCCACCGCAGTCTCTGACAGCACCCTGCACAGCACCCTGCACAGCACCCTGCACAGCACCTTTGCCAGACTTCGCCACCGCAGTCTGGACAGCACAGCACCCTGCACAGCACCTTTGCCAGACTTCGCCACCGCAGTCTGGACAGCACCCTGCACAGCACCCTGCACAGCACCTTTGCCAGACTTCGCCACCGCAGTCTGGACAGCCCCCTGCACAGCACCCTGCACAGCACCCTGCACAGCACCCTGCACAGCACCTTTGCCAGACTTCGCCACCGCAGTCTGGACAGCACCCTGCACAGCACCCTGCACAGCACCTTTGCCAGACTTCGCCATCGCAGTCTGGACAACACCCTGCACAGCACCCTGCACAGCACCTTTGCCAGACTTGGCCACCGCAGTCTGACAGCACCCTGCACAGCACCCTGCACAGCACCCTGCACAGTGCACAGCACCTTTGCCAGACTTCGCCACCGCAGTCTGGACAGCCCCCTGCACAGCACCCTGCACAGCACCTTTGCCAGACTTCGCCACCGCAGTCTGGACAACACCCTGCACAGCACCCTGCACAGCACCTTTGCCAGACTTCGCCACCGCAGTCTGGACAGCCCCCTGCACAGCACCCTGCACAGCACCTTTGCCAGACTTCGCCACCGCAGTCTGGACAGCACCCTGCACAGCACCCTGCACAGCACCTTTGCCAGACTTCGCCACCGCAGTCTGGATAGCACCCTGCACAGCACCCTGGGCTCAAAAGTTCGCCACCGGAGACCCCCACCTAAGAGAAGTAAGAACCCCTATAGCTTGCCAGCTATCTGGGGGAAAACTTACTTTGAACCTTTTTGCTTAGAACCCAAAAAACTTTACTTAGAACCCTATGCCTAGAACCAAACAATAATACACAAGTAATCACAAATATAATATACATCAAAGATCTGCCATACCTCCTTGCAGAAACGTATACTTTGAACCCCTAAGATCTATACCTTTACAGATCCAAAATAATATGTATATATACATGAAAGAGTCCGTCGCTATATATTTACATATGCAACTTCCTTCCTCCTTGCAGAAACATATGCTTAAGCCCTTGGGCCCTATACCTATACATATCTAAACAAAAATATGTATATATATATATATATACATGAAAGAGCCCGTCGCGATGTAATTAAACATACACAGCGATGCCTCCTTGCAGAAACCTACTTAGAACTCCTAGAATCTATACCTTTACATATCTATATACAAAAATGTGTATATCCATATATATATGAAAGAGTCCGTCGCTATGTATTCATTTTTACACATGCATGCCTCCATGCGGAAACGGTTACTTAGAACCCCTAGGATCTATACCTTTACATATCTAAAATACTACGTGTATATATATATATACATAAAAGAGTCCGTCGCTATATATTTATATATACACATCCCTTCCACCATGCAGAAACGTATCCTTAGAATCCCTAGGCCTATACCTTTACATATCTAAAATAATATGTGTATATGTATATATTTGTATATATGTATATATTTATACATGAGAGAGCCCGTTGCCCTATATTTATATATACACATCCATGCCTCCTTGCAGAAACGTATACTTAGAATCCCTAGGTCCTTGTTGTTGTGTGTGTGTGAGTGATTTTGAGCCCAAGTCCAAGTCCACTCCAGTTGCTGAAATTGAAAGCTCCAACCTGGCGTTGTCTGGCCCGGATAGGATCTGCCAATCCAGCATGAAAGATGCGAAGCAAGCCATTCTCCATACCTGCAAAAAAAACTGGTGTCGTTGTTGAGCTCAGAATCATTATAAAGGCTGTGTGACCGCAGTTTGCTTGGGACAGCCTGATCAAAAGCTCCCTATGATGTCATGCTATTTGACTAAGTCTGACCCACGCCGACGCCTGCTTGTCCACTGCATTGAGGAGGCTACTTATTGCATCCGGCTGCGGGTAAAGGCTAAAGCATTGAAGTGGCATGCCATCTGCTCATATCTCTTCTGTCTTGTTTTTCTCTCTCTCTTCCTCGTTGGGTTTTGTCTGTCTCTTCTTACGTGGCTGGGAGCTTCTACTTCTTCATGCTTTACATTTCCTTTGGATGCTGAAGCCAAGGCAGGCTCACGCATACGGCGCTCATCAAGCAAACAGCAAAGGAGTTTCCTCTGCTGAGTGTTCACTCCAAGAATGGTGTGAATTGTGAGTTACTTGACCAGCCAATGTGTTTCTCTGCTAAGCTGCAACCTGGAGCTTTCACGGTGGCCAAAGCGGCTGAGGTCTGCAAAGCTTCAACTCGCAGAGGCCCGCACCATCCAAATGGAAACAGGCGGAATCTTCAACCAACAGCGGAAGAAAGGGATGCACCATCGAAGCTCAAAAGCACACAAACCTCAGAGCCTCAGGGTTCCTGGCATCTATATTTTACACACACACATATATATATAAATAATATTATATAATGTTAATTTATATCTACTTATTTATTTAAACCAGCTTCCTGCACAAGCGCTCCTTTTTCATCTGCGATGTGAGGTTTGTCCATCGCCAGCAGTCCATTGTTCATTAGACCAAAAGCTGGTGTTTCTGCCATACTTTCCCCGCGCCTCTCCATGCTCCTTGGTGTCTGCTGTTCGGAAGAGTCTCAACCATGTAGTGGGAGGTATGGCTGCATTCAAAAAGAGGAAAAAACTGAAGCTAGTTGCTGAATACGTAACTTCGCGTCTTTGGGCAATTGTTCAGTGAAGCTTGTGTACATCACTTCCTGAATGTAGATATCCATCACTTTTGGACTTGCCCAACGACCACGTCTCCGCACGTTTTCTGGTGACTCGCTCTCTAAAAGGAGAAAAGTTGCACGACCTGGCCCGAGTGAGGCTAGGTCAAAAGGCCTCTTCCCATCCACCTTCGTAGTCGGCAAACCAAGCGCTGCCAGGAGGTCAGCAAAACGCCGTCTCAGGGTTGCGGCGGAAAAAGTCCACAACTTCCGTGGCATGCGTCCGAAAACTGCTTCAAGGAGGGATCAAGCGGATCTACCCTTGCAGCCTGATGTCTGGCCGCCCTCCCTCGAATTTTCCGGCCATTTATACGGAGCAGTCCAGGAGCTGCGTCGCTTGGTAAAATCAAGTCGTCGCGTAGTGCAGCAAGGACCTCTCCGATCCCAAGGATTCCAGCCTCAACTGGCCAGCTCCACATCAATGCCAAACTCATCATAGCCAGCAATATTGAGAGTGGTAAGGCTGGGTGGTGCTGCATCGGTTCATCTGCCAACCAGGCAAAGCAAAGATCCCAAGCTGCAGTGAGTTGCTTTTTGAGTGCCGGCCTATGATATGTAAGAACGTTGATGGTCTCAGCAAACTTTCCCTAAGCCTTCCCTGCAGCAAACATCTCCTGTCCGTACATCACAAGCAATCTGCAGATTTCCTCTGGGTCTGGTGGTTTCGCAGTCAAAAGCACTGACAAAATGATGCCATGAGTCTCATGCAACCAAACACGAAAATCAGCCAGCAAAACGTTTCTCTTTTGCAGTGTGTCCGATCGCGCTACTCTGGTCGCTATGAAGTTTATGGCACCCCGTCTCCCAGCTCTTTCTCGCTCCAGTGCAGTCTTCGGTTCCATGTTAAGCGCCCGCAGATGCAAAACAGAAAAATCCATCTACAGCTACAGGGTGCTTTCCTACGGACACATACAGAAGTCCAAACCCAGCACACGACACAGATCCAGACACAAGATGCCAGGACAAGACAAGCAGGCTGCAAAGTCCATGAGAGGCAGGTGGCACAGAGAGACAAAATCCAAGTCCAAGTCTCACTGATACCCGTGACGACCTGATCTGTCCAGGGTGAAGCTGGGGAAAGTCCAAAGAGGAAATCCAAAGTCCAAGATGATGTCGCTTCAACCCTGGACAGGAAAGAAAGAAGCAACGTGAGCCTCACCCAGTTTGCTGCAAATCGCTTGAGCTGGCTAGCATGTAGGACTTGAATGTCCCTACCAGAGAGGTGAGAAAGGACGGAGTGCCTTGCCTTTTCTCTGATGCGGGCATGCCTGGTTGGATCATCCGCAACATTCAGCCTAGTGGGAGCAAAACCCCAACCTGGGTACAAGCCTGCTATGGAGGCTGCTCGGCGGCTGAAGGAGCCTGTCCCTTTCGCCAGCGCTCCCTTTGCCACACGGGAGTCAAGGACGCCAAGAAACCTGGAATCTCTCATCTTCGAATCAGCGCAAGAGAGCAATGCAAGGGCTGAGTGACCTTCCACGACATTGATGTGTGAGTTCCTTGTCCACCTCCAGCACTTTTCAGTTTTCCAGCCATGTGAAGCTAAAACATCATTCAGGACAGGGCTCTCAAGTCCAAAAACCTCTGCCCCATCAACGGTGTCACCTCGTTGCTGCCTGATTGCTCTCTCAAAGCCTTCTGCAAGGTGGTCTGCAAGCTCCCATGTGTATACTGCCGATGGTTTCGTCCAGGCTCCCTCAA